AGAATTGAAAGGATGTTTGTAAGAGAGCTGAATCCTTAATTACCAGGACAGAAAGGCAATATATTATCTCAAAACTTGATAAATTACGAAAAACTTATATATTAGTTAGAAATATGGATATAATCACTGGAAGAAGGAGTTGAAATGGTTGCTTTTTGGGATAATTAGATTGCTGGAATCCAGACAGGAAAGAAAGTATGCATTTCATTAAATTCCTTTTAGGTATCTTTGGGTTTTTTCCAAGTATGGACATATATAACTGTGGTTAAAAAAGAAAGAAAGAAAAATAATCATTAGATTGAAAATTAAAAGACGTAGGAATACTAACCAGAGTAAGTAATTCCACATTAACATAATTCTGTAATCTATAAGAAAATTGTTACTTACTAGCAGGAAAAAAGTACCATTTCATAACAGGAAAATTTTCAAGATGCATTGTTCAATAAAATAAGCAGATTATAAAATACAGCATATAAGGGCTGGGGTTGTGGCTCAACGGTAGAGCGCTCGCCTCACATGTGTGAGACCCTGGGTTCGACCCTAAGCACCATATACAAATAAATGAACAAAATAAAGATATTGTAAAAAAAATACAGCATTTAAGATAACCCAGTTTTATAACAAAATTTATCTTTGTGTGTATAGAAAAATTCAAGAGGATAATTCAGAAATGCCAAATACAGTTACCTGATTTCTTGGTAAATTTTTAAAAACTTTATATGAATGTATTGCTTCTGAAATTAGAAAATGATGTAAGAAAAACTGATGAGATAAAACTAAAGAGTTACCAAGTGATGTCATCCTTGAAAAGTCCATTTGTAAGTTATTTCTATGAACAAGACACCATTCTAAACTCTTTAGAAGCTACAAAGGTACATGATAGCATTTAATTTCCCAAGTAGCTCACAATGTTATATAGGAGATGAAAATGAATACCGTGCATAAAAGACACAGATAATATAAGGTAGAAGAGTAAAAGTGTCCCACGCTTGAATGGCCAGTACAATCACAGTTCTCTAGTAAGAAAGATCACTTTTAGATGGAAGGGCATTCAAGAGATCCTTGAGAACGAAGGAGGAGACTTGAAGAGGCAGAAATTGGATTAAGCCACTCAGAAACATACAAACAAACAACAACAACAAAACACCCCAAAAACCTAAGACTCAGAAGTGTAAGTGCAGGGTAATTTTGCTGAGATGGGAGGTATGCTTTGTGGCCAATTTGCATAGGATGCTGAAAACCACATAGAGCTATTCAGTAGAAGTTTGCCCTCAATGAAGGCAGTGTTCAAGAAGGGGGTAAAATAATTACACACAGGAAGAGAAACCCTATTTGAAACATATTATGCTAGCCCAGAATTTAAAGGAAGAGATAAACTTGAAAAACATTGAAGCAGTTGAGTTCACAGAAACTAGCGATATTTGGAAGTGAGAATAGGAGGCAACAAAAGTGGCCACGTTATTGTGAGTCTGGATTATTATTAGACTAGTTGCCACACTAACACAAAAGGGCTGCTATCAGAATAAGGAGGGAGTTTTGTGGAGGAAGATAATTGTAGATATCTGAATGCAAAATTTGATTTCAGGGGACTATCCATGAGATGATACTTAAAAGGCCGTAGGTAATATAGTTTTGAATTTCAGTCAGTCACTCAGTAAATACATATCTTCTCCTACATTTTTAGTAATAAGTATGATAAGCATTATCAATTTATAAGTAAAACATCATCTTTGTCCTATGGAGCTCCGCGTTTGGACTAGGGAAAAACAGATATCAAGTGGATCATTATAGAGCAACTGTCATGTCATGTATCAAAACAGATGTTTGCGTTATGTGGAAGGGAATCTCGAGATCATGAAGAGTGTAGGTGGCCAGCAGGAGTTCACAAACAGGGAATCATTCCACACATCATGTGGATGTTTCTTAGAAATGAAGACTTAATCTAGAGAGCAAAGAGGAAGAATATTATACTGAAACCAAAATCTGGAAGAATGTGTTTGTCTACAAATTGGGAAGAGGTTGAGAAGCCAGTGAAGGCGAGCACAGAATCGCATTCCAGAAACAAAAAGGAGATTCAAGACACAAGGTGGTTTGGTGGTGACTGAGAAATTAGGAAGTTTTAGAATTGCTAAAAATTCACTGGATTTAGTAATTAGGAGGCTATTGACTTTAAGATGTTCAATAATATCAGAATGACAGTGTTTTATTTGATGAGAATGTATAATAATAACCATTATAAAAACAAAAATTACAGTACAGGTCCTCTCCTATGACTATATATATGCTATATTTGTTGAGAAAATATGTGTATTTACTTACAAATAAATGAACTCCTAATTTGCAGATAAACTTGTCACGTAGAGAGTAACTATAAAGAATATCTCCTTGGACTTGATACTATTAAGAAATAATATCAAGGAACTGATAGGAAATGATCTTATGAGGATAGTTGGCCATTGCATTTGCAGGTGACGTTTGAAAAATATTTCCAAAGAGTATTCAGGCAGAATGTGGACCTTGAAGAAAACAATCGATAACAGTTCTTAGAAATTCTGAAATGCTACTCCTCCACCCACCCCAACCCCTACCCCAATTTTCTGACTACTATTTTTCCTTTATTGTTTTACCCTAAATGCTCCTATCTCTGACAGTTTCCTGTTCAAATTTTTCACACTAAATATGGTCCCCATGTCATACTAGCACATTATTCATTTGTTCCATAGAACCAACCATAATCTGTAATACACTGTTTGTGTATTTATTGTCTGTCTTCCTCCCTTGGCTGTCATTTACCTAATATTAGGCGTCATGAGAATTTGTTCTCCACTTTGCCTTTCAGCTTCACCACAGTGTTGTTACAATTCAAATCTATATTGAATGAATGAAAGATAGGAAGATAAGGTAGAGTGTTCCCAAAGCAAATTTCTTGGAGATGGAATAGTTACAAGGCATGTCAAAGTCCAACATGTTACCCAGTATTTGAGTTGTTTGAGTAGTATGAAAATTAAAAGGTGAGAAAATTGAGGCTATACCTTTAGAACATTTGCTCAGATCCCCGTTGGACTCACTAAGAACAAGGAGGAGATGAAGAGAATGAAGTGATGTTTCAGAGTACATCCATGACAAAATGGATGAAGTAGTAAAGTATATGGTTTGGGTGGAAAATGCACTGAGAGCAGTGAAGAGTGTAGTGCCTTTTCCTCCTTGTCAGGGGAGTGGTGAGTCTGTGGATGGTTAGGAGGCAGGAGAAATGGAATGGAGCCATGTTTCAATTCAACTGAGGAGCCATGAAGGTTGCTCATTGAAATAAGGGGAAGTCTAGGAGGACATATTCACAGCAAAACAGAGGTATCATAAGACTGGGTAACAGGACTAACAAGTATTAGTTAGCTACAATATAAGTGTATATTATTAATCAGTTAATAGACACATTTAGTGTAAATTCATCACTATTTCTAGAAAAAAATGAATAATGCTAATAGCAAACAGGGACTTTTTGTTATGTAGTTCCACATCTTGGACTATAATTACACATAAATATATTTATATTATTTACACTGTTTTGATTAAAAATATTTTCTTGTGTTCTTGTAGTGATATAATTCTGTACAATAGTCACATCTACTTATCAGAAATTATTGGTTCCGAAAAACACTTTGCCTAGTATTTTGTTAAATGACTAATCATGCCTTAAAAAACTTTTAAGAGAATTTACCAAAAAATATATAATTATGAAATAACTTATTTTATTTTGTATAGATCTCAAATACAACCTAAGGATTTTTTTTTTTTTTTTTTTTTTGGTTTTTAAAATTCAGTCCAGTGAAACATTCAGGTAGCTTGAGTACTTTGCTTTCTTATAGTATTTTAGTTTCTCTTGTGACCAGTCTCATCACCTGGGTTTGTAAGGTGACTGGAATTAAGGGTGCTATCTTCTGTCATGAAAGAGTTGCCTGTCTTTTCTCTTGGCAAAACTCAGATTCCTGTGGGAGTCAAATGAGAGATGAGGCCTGATTAACGCTGTGTTTTATGACTGAGGGCTTTGGAACAGACCACCTGGCGTTTTTGTTGCTCTGTATTCATTTAAAACTAAGAATCCTAAGAGTCAAAGCGCTCAGTGAAATCCTCATGAATAATCATACATTAAAACCTCTTTCCATAGAGGTTGTTTTTAATCAATTTTATAAAGTTTTGTACAGGAATGTCATAGTACATATTTTAATAGCTATACTGAGATAATGGCTCCCTATTAAGGGAAAATTCATTTCCCAAATGTGAGATGTTTTAGAAAATATCACTTTCATTGTAACTAAATATGTCGGGCTTCCATAATTCCTGTTAATAATCCTGACTCCAACACCTACTGGCTAATTCTTAGTATTATAAAAGCATGCTGGTATGGAAGAATACACTTATATACTGCAAAGTTTTACATGTGTGAATAGTCATTACCAAGGTGGAAAGAAAAGAGAAACTCTCTACTTTTATCTGTACTTTTTCTCACCACTTGCATCTTTTTAATCTTCTTGGTACCCATGAATAATCTCTTTTTGTTTAAACCATGACATTTTAAGTTGTTGCATTTTAATTTTTCTTTAGAAAAATGTCCTACTCTTACAAAAAAAAATGTATCTAGGATACTCCTGATTTGTATTTTGAATGAGTCAAAGCTGACATAATTTTGTAAGTGTAAATGTGTTTAGAGTCAGATAATTTGAAAATTGATCATCAGTCCCACAGAGTCGGGAATACAGTCAGAACGTGAGTTTGATTCAGTATTTCCCCTATTGCTGAAGGTACCAGCTGCCTGTCTTCTTAGTGTATTTTAGTCTTAGTAGAAATTTATTATCTTTTCTTGCCTAAACGGGAATGTGGGAGGAGAAAGAGATATAAGTCTGAAAAGCATATAAATGCTTCCTCCAAACTGTCAAAAGTTAGCTGTTAATTTCGCTTTGGACGTGGATGAGACTCACAGCATCCTACCCTTGTTCTCTTTGCAGTGGGTAAACCTCACAAGTGCAACTACTGTGGACGAAGCTACAAGCAGCGCAGTTCACTGGAGGAGCACAAGGAACGCTGCCACAACTATCTCCAGAATGTCAGCATGGAGGCTGCTGGGCAGGTCATGAGTCACCATGGTGGGTAGCAATAGCGTCGCGATTTTCATGCCCTCCTGTGCTGCTCCTGTAGTCTTTTATGGGCTAAATAGTTCCCTCCACCCTTCAACATGAAGATCAAATCTTACTCTGTTTCAATTTAGATCATATTAACTTTGTATGGGATTATCTTTTTAAACACTTGAGATGAGCTGAGCTTTGGGATACATCCATACGTTGCCAACAAGCTCTACTGAGTTTTTATGATACTCCCAAATTACTTCGGATAATGTTTGAATTCATGTAACACTGGCAGCCAGTCTTTACTACGCCAAGGGAAGCTACTGTTTTCTCTAACCAAACGTTAGAAATGGTTCCACACAAGGCTGTAGGTCTCCAGAAAGAATGAATTGCTTATTTGCATTATTTCTTGTGTTGGGAAAATATTCAGTGATATAATTTGAATTTTCTCCAATCTATCTTATAATGAATCTGAGAAATTATTAATTTTGGTTTCACATGTGTGAAACATGATTTAGACTAAACTTTGACACCATCACCCTCCTAAAAAACATTCTCTAAGCAAAACAGCCTGATTTCCACAATACACAGTGACAAGAAGGTTGTCCTTAAGGCTCACGAATTCATAAGTCTCAATTCACAAAACGTCAATTTTAGTAAGTCAGCCTTACAAAGGAAAGTGATGGATTTCAGTTCTTTAGATTTCTACTTTCTGTCTTGCCTAATTATATATACATATATTATATGTATATATATATATATTATTTTTAATTGTAGTTGGACACAATAACTTTATTTTATTTATTTTTTTAATGTGGTGCTGATGATCAAACCCAGTGCCTCACACGTGCTAGGTGAGCACTCTACCACTGAGTCACTACCCCACCCCCTAATTATATTTTTATACTGACTGATTTTATTATTCATGTGAATTCAAAAATCTTATTGATATATTTCTATCCTTATTTAAAAATGGTTGGCTGAGGGGCTGGGGATGTGGCTCAAGTGGTAGCACGCACCCTTAGCATGTGTGAGGCACTGGGTTCGATTCTCAGCACCCCATAAAAATGAAATAAATATATTGTGTCCACCTAAAACTAAAAAATAAATATTTTTTAAAAATGGTTGGCTAATATTGAATGGTAGTTTTCTTTACTTACATTTAAAAATACAAATATTCTTTTATTGGCTTAGATATAGTACCTTGAGGATAATTTATGGGTTTTTTTTTTTTTTTTTGGTTTATGTGTTTATGGGTTTTATGGGGATGTGCTTATTAGATCAGTATCTAATAAATTATATAATTGTTATAAAAATTTTTAAATTCTTTAAATTTTATTAAACTATAAAATTATTTGTTGTTGAGAATTAAAATTTTAAATGTTTGTTGTTATTCTAAATAATTTACATATTTCCTTGTATTAAGGATAGGTTCTGTAATCTAAAGAATCTGATTTAATTCCATTAGTTGTTATGATTGAGTCCATTTATTTTTATATTACTAACACTTTTGTTTGTATTTGAACTCTTTTTGTATTGCAAGTTTTATTGCCTGAGCATGCAAGCATGACATAGGGCCCACAGCATAGAGGTTATAAAATGGTGGGCTGTGAAGTCCAGTCACCTGGTCTGCTGCTGTAGTGTCATAGGCATAGTGTAAGAAGTAAATGGTATCAGATGTACAGTAAACACCCCCCAAATAATTCGTACATTTTAGGACATTAAATACTAAGAAACAGAAATCTGTCCTCCCCTATGAAGTCGTCACTTGCCACTGTTAAGAAGTACAGGTTCCCTTGACCTCCTTAGAACACTGTTTTGGATTTAAGGATTGCCTAAGTCAGGGGACTCATGGAGATCGGGAGCATTCCAGAGCTTCCCAGAGATCCCTTATGGCATCACTACTACTTTTCCTGTTTTCCCACTGTTCTAACATTTGATTGGAATAACATGCACATTCTGTTGATTATTTTTTTCCATTTAGTTATTTATGAAACTCCAAATGGCATACATACCCAAATAATCAAAATAGAGTTTCTCCTAAAAGATTTTATATTATTGCAGGAAAATAAGGTATAAATAAATAATTATAACCAACATTTGGCTCATTGCACTGTCATAGAATTACTATTGACAAGAAAGTTAGGTGTATTTTGGGAAGAGAAAAAGACGTCTTGTAAACAACTGGGACTTCGGTGTTGCCCTTTATTTCCCAGATTTCTTGCATCTTTTCAGACACAAGCCCTTTATAGGTGGTGCCAAAGCTGGGACAGAGGAGGACGAGTGGGACAGAGAAAGAGGGAAAGCCAAGGAGAAGTAGAGGAGGAAGATAATTCTTGATGTCATGGATAGAGTTGAATATTTGTTCTTAAATACTAGATACCATTTTAACCACATTAACCATAATATGAATGCCATTTTCTACCATACTTTTCTAGGTTTGTTGTAACAATAATTTGGGGTCATCATTAATCTCCTTTTTCTTTTATTGACCTGCTTAATGAAGAGTTGACTTTATGAGGTAGGAGTTGATACATCCATGAGAGAGAAAACTGTATGTAGAAACCACATAAGTTCATCATTAATCTTGTCAAACACACGCATAGCATGGCCAAGGTCTCCTTTTCAACAGAGCCACAATAAAATTCATATTTATCCCATCCCTCTCTTCTTTTCCTGCTATATATTATCTACTTCTTTTCTTTCCCTTTTAGTGGTAGGAGTTAGGGTTGCCAGTTAGTGTGGTTGCTGTTAAATCTATAAAGGGAATTTTTGTTCATTTCTAATAGAGTTATTTTTCCTAACATCTCTTTTCCAAAACAAGTTCATCCCATATTGGCTCTTCTATTAAGGAAATGTCTGAAGGAAAAAAAAAAAAAAGACATTCTTCCACTTCATTCAGAAAACATTTATTGAGGGCTTGCTTGCTCTTTGCCAAGATCTATGAAACATTTAGGGAATTTAAAGATAAATGAACACAATGTCTTTTGTATACTTACATTCTGTTAGGAAAAACATACATTTTAAATATAATAAGATGAAACGAAGCAAAATTGTTAATAAAGATGTGTTTGCAGTTTGGGAGCATGGATGTAGGGGTAGCCTGATGGAGAAGACAAGGAAAGCTTCTTATATGACACAGTGTTTTGATATGAGCATTAGAGATGGTAAGAGTCACAGGTATCTGACAGGACACAGAGGCTGCTCATTCCATGCAGAGAACAGGGAAGAGGCTTGAAGGAATAAAGAATCCTTAACAGATTCTTTGACACTGGGTATGATTGGAGCTAAAGGAGTGGCAGGAAATAAGACTGAGTTTAGGAGACCGTGATGCAGAAGCAGAGTCTTTTTTACTAATGAAGTCTCAACACTACATAGTGATGGGAAACCACCGGCTAATCAAATGTGCATATTTGAAACACAAATGTCACCGATGTAGAATAGAGGACTGACATCTGTCTGGCGCAGGGCGTGAGTGTAAGGAGAGACCCAAAGTGATAGTGCCAAGGAAAAGATGAAGGCGCAGTGGTGGGACAAGACTCTGAGAGGAACATTAAAAACATATTTAGGAAGTTGAATAAAAAGTTTTTATAAATGTTGATTGATTTTGAGGAAAGGAGAGGAATTTCATGACTTTTAGTTTCAGAAATACAGATAACAATGAATTGGTTTTCGTGGCAGATTATTTATCTTATTTCTGTGTTGTCTTTATGCTCATTTTTCATGACTGCTCAGCTTGAAGACAAAGCTTTAAAAACCAAACTGTGTAATTAATTGCCTTCTTTCCAGAAGACAAAAATGAAAGTGTGAACCAGAAAGTCAGCCAACTTGAAAGCTATGATTTCATAGGTTTGCACTTTGGATTATTTTGGAAAGGGAGGTTCTTTTCCCCAACCATGGAGGTATAATTGAGAGTTTACAAACTTTCTATTTAGTTTTTTTGTCTTATGTCCATTGTGTGACATCATTTCCTTTGGTAAGTTATATTGTAAAGATCCATTGAATAGAGTGTCTCACATAGAAAGTCAAATAAATTGCCATCTCTGAGGCTTTTACCAACTATTGGAAGAAACAACCAATAAACCAACAATTAGAGGACCGTGTGGCAAGTGTCACAGGGCACAGAGGACAGGTACCTAAATCAGACTGGATTTCCAAGAAGAATTTCTAGGGGAATTTATGTAAAGTTTGAAAGGTAAAAATAACAAGCTAGTAAGTGGAGAGTGGCATTTCATGCAGAGTGAATAGCATATATGAAGAAACAAAAGTCTAAAAGACCACGGAGAGCTAAGGACCTGATAGGAAATTTGTACATTTGGAGCCCAATTTGTAAAGACAAGAGAAGGTTGTGAGAGTAAAGATATATGTTCTGTACCAAACATCCAGGGCCTACTGTTCTAGGCAAAGACTTTTGTACTTTAACCTAAAAGATAGGATTGCATTTATATTTTATTGATAGAAATATGGACACAGATCAGAGGAGTCAAGAAACACAGACCAACCAGGAGATTGTTGCTGTGGTGTAGGGGGGCTCAGTGGCCTGGAATATATAGAAAGATTAGGTAATTGAGAGCAGCTGCAGATGTGGATTCTAAAACACTTGGTACCTTTATGAGTGTTTGTAATGAGATGTGGTAGGGAGGAGGCAAGGCCTGAAACAGGATGAGAGGAAGAAATCTGGGATTAACCACAGGTATACAGCATGAATGATGGAATAGTTCATAGTGCTATTTATTGGGATGGAAGTTAGAAAAATAGGCTTGGGAACCAAAGGGAGATTTCAGTTTTTGAACACATCTTTTTTTTTTTTTTTTTTGGTGGTGCTGGGGATTAGAACCCAGGGCCCTGTGCATATGAGGCAAGCCCTCTACCAACTGAACTATATCCCCAGCCCTTGAACACATCTTTGATAGTCAAGCAAAACTGTCCAGGAAAAAGTTGAAAAATACACACAAACAAACATACATATCTTGAGCTGCTGAGAGAGGTCTGAGTAGGAAATAAAGATGTGGTAGCCATCATTATATAGGTAGTATGAAGTAATAGGTTTTAATAAAGTATCTTAATCCATTTTAAGTTGCTATAACAAAATACCTAAGATTGGGTATTTTATAAGGAAAAGAGGTTCAATTTGAATGATGGTTTTGGAGGCTCAAGAGCAAGACACTGACTTCGGCCTCTAGTGAGGAGCCTCATGTCATATAGCATCATGTGTTGGAATCATGTATAAGAGAGAACTCTCATGATGAGAGCAGAAGCGAGAGAGCCAAGAGGGACTGAGCTTTCTCTTTTTATCAGCTGAGTCTCCTGGGAACTAATCCACTCCTGCGAAACCTAAGCCACTCTGTGAGACTAGCTTTAATCCCTTCACAAGGTCTGTGCCCCAGTGACTTAATCAGCTTCCACTAGGCCCCATCATCTTTCAGTATCGTTACATCATGGACCAAGTTTCTAGCACATGAACATATCCAAACCACAGTGAAGGCAATACAGATAAATATATTGAGACACCTAGAAGGCCAAGAACACACTGGGAATAATAAGAGAGCAATGAAGATGAGTAAAAACAGTATCGGGTATGAGGTATCAGAAGCAAATCGAGTATCAGCACTGTTGAATGCTGTCAAGAAAATAACTCATGTAAATGAGAAGTTTTGGTTTTAGATTTAGTGACATGGAGAAAACTTGTGACAAAATTCAAGACATCTGTTTTGCCTGCCTGATGTCCCTTCCCTCTTCTCTTGATAATATGAGTTCCACGTTCCTTTTTGAGAACTTTCTCCCATTGCATGCAGCTATTGGGGATGTCAGTGCAGTTCCGCAGCCCTGTCCTGTCCAGGGGTATACCTGTGACTTAATATAGGTCCTTCGTTCTGTTTCTTCTTGGAATTTGAATTTTAAGATAAAAACCAAACAAAACCAACCAACCAACAAATGAAATGCATGTTAGGGCCACTGTGGTGGTGCATTCTTATAATCCCAGCTACTTGGGAGGCTGAGGCAGGAGGATCACAAGTTTGAGGCCAGTCAGGCCAAGTTAACAAAACCCTATATCAAAATAAATTTTTACAGAGGGATAGAGATGTTGCTCTGTGGTAGAGTTTCTGTCTGGTATGCACATGGTCCTAGATTCGATCCCCAGTCTGGAAGGAAGGAAAGTAAAAGCTATATTGGGAGTACTATTATGGTTCTGCCTTTATGGTTCATCAATGTGACGAAACTGATACAATGCAAGTATAAAAATAAATAAGGTCAAAAAAGATCTTTGATTATGAAGTTTGCTCAAACAAGTGAAGTTAAGCACATTGGTATGTTTTTAGCCTAGCTAAATGTCTTACAATAGGATAAATGCAATTGAGATGTCAGATACCTAGAGAATTTGCTTTGTGTTTTAAGCAGTATATATACAGAAACATTTTGTTGAGCTGCTCCCAGATTCATGAAAGTGAAAAAAATCAGATTACGTGATTACATAATTGAGTAAAAGAGCATCAGTGTTTTTCCATTAACAGATATGTCAACTGGTTTATAAGATGTCAGTGTTTAAGAGACATCTACAAAGAACAGGATAGCATAGTGGTTAAGAGGTCAGGTTCTGGATCCAGACCTCCTAGTAATAACATTCCCTCCTAACTAGAAGTAAACACAACATGGAAGAAATTACTTAAGGTAGCCAGATTTTTGTTTCCCCTCTGTAAAATAAGATGGTAATGACACCAATTTCATGGGGTTTTTGAAAGAATTAAAAGAATTATTAAATGTGACGTCTTAAAATAGTACTTAGCACCTAGTATATACCCGTTATTATTGCTGGCATGGTAAAAGATCAATTTGGGCCATAAGGGCTGTTATAAAGAAGAGATTAAACCAGAGCTCTGCCAAAGTCATTGTTTTCAGTTTACATGAGCTTCATTGAACTTGGGACAAATCATCTGAATTGAGGTGGATGTGGTGTGGGACAGTTCCCACACCCAGGTTTCGTTTTGAGTGTTAAATGTGTGCAAATACGAAAATTCAGGGTAAGACTTAGACCAGAACTGCCAAGTTTTAGATTACTCATTTCAGAACTAGTTAGCATATTCAATTTGGGGGGCAAACCCCTTTAACCACTTTTGCTGTTTTTTTAGCAAAGTTTACGACAATTTTTTTTCTTGCAAAAATTTTTTCATTTTGAATCTAGGTCTGTGATATATTTTCATCTTTGTTTCACCCATGAACTACTTTAGTTTTGGAGTTATTTTAATAATGCAGTATAAATTCCTGTGAATCTACTACTCCTTCTCCAAAAAGTTAAGATTTTGACCATAATCTGTTTTTCATATTACCTGGCTCCCCACCACATCACCACCACCATTCCATTCTCCTGACCATTTATTCTAAATTGTGTGGTCATTCTTGATTGTTTTAAAAAATTCTTTGCTTTCTTTTTAGAATCTCTTGATTTTCTCTTAAGTAATTTTTTTCTTTTAGTTGTTGACAGATTTCATAATACTGGGCTTGGTGGTGCACACCCATAATCCCAGCTACTCAAAAGCTGAGGCTAGTAAGACCCTGTCTCACAATATTTTTAAAAGGCTGGGGATGTAGCTGAGTGGTAGAGCACTTGCTTATCATGTATGAGGTCCTGGTTCTACTTCCAGAAGAAATAAAGAGGGGTTGGGGGAGAAAGAGAAAGTTATAGGTAATGTTTTGAGATACACATTTCTCATTGATAATACCATGATTAATTTTGGTATAGAAAATTACCTATGTTTCCTTCTTACTGAATCTCTTTTTGGAATTGTTTTTCCATATTAATATCCAATAGTTGTAATATTTCTTGCTATTTATAGCCAGAGTATCTCTTATTAAACATAGATTGAAGATTAACTTTTTCTGGCCCATCCAATCTATGTGTTATATAGATTGAATGTTAATTTCCTTAAATTGTCCAAACTAAGGAAACCTTTCGTGATGCTATTTTTCATTTCTTCAAAATTAGCAACCTGCTAGTGGCTATTAAATGAGTTACCTGAATTGGACATTCAATTTTCTTCCCTTTCATCTTTGCTTTCTTACTTGTAGTGCATAACACCAGGATCCCCTTATGAATGAGAATACATTATGTTTCACACAGTGGGACTATCCTGTACAAATTAATGGACCAAAGTAAATAATTTTTCAGTGCATGCTGAATAAGTAAAGATAGCTAAAGATATGGAACCTTTAGGTCTTTCCTTTGAACATTAGTTTTAATCAGCTAAATCTGATTGAAAATGTTACCCTATTCTTAATTCAAAATCTTTGGCCAGTATTTCTACTCAAAAACAACCTTTATTATCTATACTATGAACATCAGTATCTAATGTCAATATCTAAGGCCTGACATAATAGCCCATAGCAACTTAGACAAATGGGACGAGTAGAGAGGAGCCCTGGAGTTTATGTCAAATGAATTAGAGCAGTAGTTTAGTGAGCCAATGTGCCAATTTGGAAATGGATTGTTTTATCTTGCTAAAGAGCTCTTTTTAAAATAAATTACGATCATAAAGCTGCCACCATTTACTATGCATAGACATGTTCAGAATTGGATCTCCCCATGAAAGCTGCTTTGTGCAGGTATTTAAGCTACTGCCAATAAGGCTAACAGCTCATCAAACAGAAAATCTGCTGCAGGAAAATACATGGGGGTTGGGGTGGCGGGGAAATGGTCAAAAAATATTTTGCTGTTATTCTGAGTGTCTGGTTAAGGTTTTCTCTGAAACAAGCTGACTTTCTAAAGTTGTTTTATAAAGATAATCTCCAAAGCCTTTAAAATAATGTAGCCTTGAATTATTGATTTTAATCAGTGTTCAAAACAATTTTAGGCAAAATATGAGAAATCAGATGAACATGTTTGCCACAAATAGTGCCAACAGTTTATGTTATTGATCTGAGAGAAACTCAGATAAAAATGAATTCCACTGAAAGTGTGTGTACTTTGTGTGTGTATGTGTGTGTAAAATTAAACAGTATTCTTTCACACTAGAGATTATTCTTTCTACTTGCTTTCATTCAAACATACTAGCTTATGTTTTTTATAGCATATTGGAATGGCAAATTTATCTCTGTATCTTTCAAATTGTTGAAGAAATTACCAGAATGCCTTTTTGTGTGGTTTTATATAGTACCTCCTATGGAAGATTGTAAGGATCAAGAGCCTATTATGGACAACAATATTTCTCTGGTGCCTTTTGAGAGACCTGCTGTCATAGAGAAGCTCACGGGGAATATGGGAAAACGTAAAAGCTCCACTCCACAAAAGTTTGTGGGTAAGCAGTGCAAATGCTTTTGTTTCTTTACCAGGTGTCCTCAGTTGGAAAGGCAAGTTCCTATGTATTAGAAATATATATGGGACATCTTAGGTCATGAAAAAATATTCATCTCTTCTCCATTTTTCTTTTCTACTCCCTGATACTCCATCGACATCACACTTATTTACACACACACACACATAAACACACTTATTTACACACACAAACACACCCTTAGATATACAAGCATAAGAAAGAGAAGTAAAGACTGCTAATCATCAGTCTCCATCTAAAAATATAATAATATATAAATTGAAATAACATACAAAATAAAATATTATTAAAAAATAATTACACGTTATAAGGGCCCTATGATCTAGCCTTTTAGCCAGCTTTATAACTGTTTTTAATTTGGCAGTAATACCAGGATTTTTACTTTTTTTAACATGGTATTAATTCTTTTAGTATTTGATCTAGAATTAAGAGATTTTTTTCCCCAGAATTCTACATTAGAAAAATAATGTAGCAACCTACATTCAAGATACTTCACATGTGGATCTATACTGTATATTTTGATCTTTGTTTTCCATCCAGCCTATGATTTTGAACTGAAAAGATTAGATATCATATATTTAGACTTGCCCTTTTCATATCCAAACCCTTAGATATTCTTTGGTACGCCCAGTGCTGGCATCATTCTAAATGCATGCTGTAAGTCATAGAGTGTCTCTAAGGATTTAAAAAAAAATCAGCTTTTTTTTTTTAGAAAGTAAACTTATATTCAACAGAAAGATTTGTTAAAGAAATGTCACTCACTGTGTATTTAATATATATATTCTTGAAGACTTATGTGTAGGTAAAAATAAGAAGAGAAAAGTACTAAAACAGATTCTCACATTCTAAATTCAGCATTGTAGGACATCCTGATTGAGGGGTGATTAGGAGAAAACCTTTTCTTTGGTTACTTCAGAAAGGAAGGAGTAATAAAATTCTGTTTCCATAACGTTTTGAGAAGGTTTCCTTTCTATCTAAAATCGAAGAACCAACAAATCAACAAAATACTGCTTTATGACCAGCTGGTGGAATTTAGTAAGAACTCACTGAAAGAAGCCTAATGAGTGACTCTAGGGGTCATATTAAGTCAGTTCAAGACTGTACTCAGAGCCCTACCTTGGGAACTTCTTTCTGTTACCCTTTCTTCTTTTTTATAGGTATCTTTGAGGGGGAGGAGGAGGGAAAACAGGAGATGGGAGATCAGAAACCATTACATTTATTTTTAAAAAATTAATTTATTGAAGGACATCAAATGCTTATATCCAACTAGACACTAAGTATAGTTGGAAAAATAAGAAATTTGTTAGTATTCTTCTTTGTCTTCTGAATTTATATAGTCTATTCTTTGTAACATTTTTGTCATGTTTCCTAAGACGGAAATGCTACTCTTAATTATATTCCTTAGAAAAGAGACAGATTTTTAGAAAATTACAGTATGAGTCTAAAGTAATGACATTAGATGTTTTTATGAAGAATGAGATTTTTTTTTCTTTATTTGGATTCTATCCTAAGAAGATATAGCAAAGAATAGCACAGTGACTATTTCAGTGCTTGTTCTTGAAATGAAACTTTTCATCATTCCATACTTGCCCCAAATTCCTTTTTTCCATCTCCCTCATTTAAATATTATTCTTTGACCTTGTCAAGGTCTCCTGGCCAATGATCTATGCACTTTATGCATTCTGTGTCTTCTGGCACTCTCATGCTAACATGCTTGACTCCTGCCTTGTTGTCCTGCCACCTTCTCTTGGTGAAACCTCACTATCTCATGGAGATGACTGAGCATTTTTTCCATATTTATACCTCAGCGCGGCTAGTACTTTGGAGAAAAATCCCACAGTCAATAGATAAATGATTAACTAATCTCCAGTATCAGCTGGTCCATCCATACTATGTAGCAGCACTCCTCTAATCTCTCCCCAAACTTCTCTCCTGCTGCTATTTTGAACCTTTGTTCTCTGCAAGCTTCATATCTTATGCCTAGGGAATGAGTTGAAAAGATTTCAATATATTACCAATCCTATAGGATCATGTGCATCTTTGTTAATATTTTAGTCTTTATTTCCTTATTTCAGTAAAAGCACTATCCCTCCAATTCTCTCTTTTGGTGTCTGGAATTTTTCTATTATGTCCCCCCAGATACCTCACATGATTAGTTTTCCTTTTTCTCACTTGCCTATCAGTATTTAAGGTGATAAATTATAACCTTTTAAAAATTCCTTCAAGCCCAAGTCTCCTTCTAGTTATCACACCCTACTTTCTCTTTCTCTTCAAAAATGGAATTGTTGAAAGAATTATGTACCTACTTTCCATGACTTCTTTCTTTCTTTTTCTTTTATCCTAGTTCATGTAACCTCCTTTCTTCCCTATGCTCCACTGAAATTATCCTCTGGATGTTGCAGCTTTCTTTCACAGTGCCAAGTCCAGTGGACCCTTTTAGGCTGTATCTCTTACCCAACTCCTGGCGAGCATTTGCCACTTTTGAATAGTCAGTTCCTTCTGAATATAATCTTTTCTTGGCTCCATGACGTTGATCTCTCCTTCATTTCCTCCAGCCAGCTTCCCTCATTGCTTCTTCTTATTCCTCTCTGTGTACTTATCCTTTTCAACTGTGCAGAAGTAGAGTACAATGGAGGACGCCATTCATATGTCTAAATAGTTTACTATTTTAAATAAAGCTGAAAAACAGATGTTCTACCCTCCTAACTTAGAAGACTAAGTTCACATAAATATAGGATTCTCAGATTCCTTAGTACTCCACACCAGACATTGGCAGCATGAGCAGAACCACCTTCTGGCCTGCAGCCAGACCCCTCCCTTAGACCGATTCTTGGTTCTCTGTTATCAGAATGGTGCTCATGCACACATTTAGACACTCCTGTCTTGCATTTCCAAATTCTTTTTATACTGCACACCTATCACAAAAAGAGTAGTATCATGGCCATGCGTCAAGCTTAGGTGAATGCTCATCAGTGGCACAGTTGGTATTCAGGAGAATGGAACTCATGAACAAAACTGTACAGACTGGAAGCACACTTGGAGCCATTTGATAAAGGAATTCTGGGGTCTGAAAGTTCCCAGACTATGGTCTGGGCAGTGAGCCTGATAGGCACATTCTTTTTAAAAAAAAAAAAATTCATTTTTTAGTTACAGATGGACACAATATCTTTATTTTATTTTTATGTGATGCTGAGGATTGAACGAAGTGCCTCACACATGGTAGACGAGTGCTCTACCTCTGAGCTACAACCCTAGCCCATTATTTTAGCCCTAGAAACTCCTCATTCCATGATGGGCAAGGCCTAGAGCTTTCTAAACATGATGCCAAGTTCAGGAATACCAGTTGGCTTTATCTATAAGATGACATAAAATTGTTTCCCAGGTTCTATTTCTGACTCTTCTTCACAGTTTACCTGTTGCTGAGTGATAATAGTGTGTCCCATGCTTCAGATCAACTTCTATCAACTGATGACTCTCATGTCTACATCTTAAACCCAGATCTCTCTCCTAAGTTTGACACTTTATCTAGGGGCTTACTGGAATGACTATTTCTCATAGAGCCCCCAAACTGAATTTATCATCTTTTTTATCTGTCATCCACTAAGTTTCCCAAGCCAGAAAACTGTGCTTCATGCTTCCTTTCTCTTTCTCATTGTCTACATCTAGATAAACATCAAGCCCTGACTACTGTATTTTAAAATTTCATTTAAAAATACATTTCATTTTAAAATCCATTCTGTTGGTTTTTTCTCCACTTGCACTGATATTACACAGTTCAAGCCACCCTGATCGTGATCGCAACTTCCTAAATCCTCTTGTTAAATGAATATCTAATCAAACTATTTCCCTGTTTAACCCCTTCAGTTCCTGTTGCTCTTAGGATAAAATTCCAATTCCTTTGCTGTGAATGAGCCCTGTATTATATTATCTGGTTCATCTTTATTATCTGTTTCCTCTCAGGTCTGCTGAAATATAAGCACTTCCTTATTTATAAGTCATGCCCTCTTGCCTGAGCTTTCCCACCAGAGGCTCTACCCCCACGTTTCTTTGCTTCACTAGTGTTGGCCACCACATTCTTATTCCTGACATCACCTTCTTCATGAAGTCTTTCTTTACTCCCCTAGTATGAGTTAAATATGTCTCTTATTTGACCCTATAGCATACACTGAGCTGTATTATAAATGGTCATTAAATTGCTGTCATTCCCTCAAAACTGTAAGCTCTTTGAGAATATAGATCAGGTTTATGTAATGTAACTTTGAAACTCTTGACATTACAATATCTTAAATTGGATGCCATGAAATAACTTCTCATCATTTTTTCTTCAATTTTTTATTACTCCAATCATTACCCTGATCTGTCTTTGGAGCCATTTCTTCAAATCTGAAATAATACTGACTACCTGAATATGCTTTTCCAGAATGCAGCTCTCTGGATCCACTTTTGCTATCATGATTATAAATTATATTTAGCATACTAAATGTAAGAATTCTACATATATTTTTAAGAAACATTTATCTATAAGATTTACCTATCGGAATAACTAGACAAATACCACATTGTTTTAGTGACAGAATTTTTAATTGAGAAACTATTCTGTCATCTGCAATATTTTGAGAAAAATTAAAGTTACCTTTCCTATTTCAGGTACCAAAACTGTTGTATAGTTAATGTTCAGGCATTATATTGAATATTAGAGTAAAATTATATTCATTTAAGTAGATATTAAAGAAAAACCACAAAGATATTTTAAGCAAGAAAAAGCACAGAAAACTAACAATGTATGTCCATAACAGCATCATCACGCATATCTGAATAAGAAAGTGATGATGTAAAAGTGAGTAACTGTCAATTTTTAGCAACAAAGTTATAAAACACGAGATCCTCCAAGATTATGAGCAAGTACATGTAGAAATAACCCCTAACTTATTTTTTTAATTTTTTTAGTTGTCAATGGATCTTTTATTTATTTATATATGGTGCTGAGGATCGAACCCAGGGCCTAACACATGCCAGGCAAGCGCTCTACCACTGAGCCATGACTCCAGCCCCCCAACTTATTTTTAGGTAGCCTCAAACTTCATTTTACTAGGTGATGCAATGTTTTAAAGTATTCTAATAAGGACTTTTTTGAATCCTTCACAATGATATACATTGTGTTGACGTTTTTCTCAAATAACAGTAAAATAAACCAAATTAATCCTACACAAGAGTGATGTGAGCTATTATAACCAAATAACTCTTGCTTTCATGATCTTAGTAGCTTGGTCACTGTGTTTGAAATATGCAAATCAAGCATAGTCTCTGACTTATTTTCACCTCATATTTATTCTTTTACTAGAGTCCCTAAGCTTTATGCAAGTAAGAAATTCAATAGAAAGTGAAAACAAGATAAACATACCTTTCGGGCTAAATGTGGTCTTGTGATGGCATTAGAATAAGTTCACATGACTTTTTGTGACTAGTTCTTTTTTCATAGTTAGAATGTCTCTGGGTCTCAGCAAAAGTAAAGAGCCCAAACACTGGATCTGAAGAAAAAGATATATCATTTTATGGAAAAATGGAAGTGATTTCTTAACTTTATTCCCTTTTATAACTTTTAATCCGTTAACTGATTTCATTATTTTTTCCTTTTTCTTTTCTCTTTCTCCTCCTTCCAGGGGAAAAGCTCATGCGATTCAGCTACCCAGATATTCATTTTGATATGAACTTAACATATGAGAAGGAGGCTGAGCTGATGCAGTCTCACATGATGGACCAAGCCATCAACAATGCAATCACCTACCTTGGAGCTGAGGCCCTTCACCCTCTGATGCCGCACCCGCCAAGCACAATCGCTGAGGTGGCCCCAGTTATAAGCTCAGCTTATTCTCAGGTCTATCATCCAAACAGGATAGAAAGACCCATTAGCAGGGAAACCTCTGATAGTCATGAAAACAACATGGATGGCCCTATCTCTCTCATCAGACCAAAGAGTCGACCCCAGGAAAGAGAGGCCTCTCCCAGCAATAGCTGCCTGGATTCAACTGACTCAGAAAGCAGCCATGATGACCACCAGTCCTACCAAGGAAACCCTGCCTTAAATCCCAAGAGGAAACAAAGCCCAGCTTACATGAAGGAGGATGTCAAGGCTTTGGATACCACCAAGGCTCCCAAGGGCTCACTGAAGGACATCTATAAGGTTTTTAATGGAGAAGGAGAACAGATAAGGGCCTTCAAGTGTGAGCACTGCCGAGTCCTTTTCCTAGACCATGTCATGTATACTATTCACATGGGCTGCCATGGCTACCGGGACCCACTGGAATGCAACATCTGTGGCTATCGAAGCCAGGACCGTTACGAGTTTTCATCACACATTGTTCGAGGGGAGCACACATTCCACTAGGCCTTTTCATTCCAAAAGGGACCCCTATGAAGTAAAGGACTGCACATGAAGAAATACTGCACTTACAATCCCACCTTCCCTCAGATGTTGGCATACCGTTTTTTAAAAAATATTATTACTGTCAATAATTCTTATTTTGTGGACGCAGTGTCATTTGCTCTGCCTAATTACAATGAGGAAGAAGCAGAAGAGAGAAGGGACAGGGAATATTGTTTCCTGATAACTTGGCTTGTTTATTTTATGGGAACTTAAAGCAGTTCATATCTGCCACATATAGATATAAGGTATACCGTGCTTTGAAAAAATCACTTGATTCATATAGATTCACCTAAGATATTCTAATTTGCCACTGATGTTCAGGATTATGATGGAAGGCAGGAAATTTTAGGGTTTTCTGGGTAGGACTTCAGCGATTTCAAATGGTATAAGTAATTTTACTCTTCAAAGAAGAACTTGTTTCAAAATGTAAACTGGTTTTTTGTTCTTTAGAGATTATGGAATACAAACACATTGTTATTTTCAGTGATAACTCCTAGGATGAGTTCAGTCGTCGTGGGTTCTATGTTTACTTCCCCTACGGAATTTATAATTCAGTATGTTTTACACTGTACCATATAGCAAAACTTTTAAACTACAGGTAGTTAAGGACCACTGTAATACATCTGAGGTCCTTTGATCTTATTTTTCTAAACTTAAGCACTGTTTTTCCATAGTTTTGATGACTGGCATTTTATAGACACCCTGGCAGCCTTACTTTTAACACCTTTAATAGTATTTTTATGTAGTTTTCAGAATAACATATGGTCTACAAGAGGGGATAAGAGGCAGTCAGTAATTTCCAGGTGGGACTCCACTTTTCATAAATTTGGGATTTTTTTTGAAAGTTGTGATGGCGGCATAGTATGTGTATTTGTTTCTAAAAGTATGCTTACAGTAGTCACTTTATCAGCATTTAATCAGTGTTAACCAGTCAGCAGAAAAATATAATTAGGCTAACAGTAGGGGGAAAACCCACTAGAAATCCCTTTTCTGGTATTTCTCTCTTCACTGGTTCTTTCAAGCTGTGACCACTCAGTGTTGTGTCCATAGTTCATTCCTCTTTTACTCTTGGAGTAGAAGGTCCTAAAACTTGTGCTATATAGGCTACTTCGTTCAAAATCTTGAAGCAATTGCTTATTTGACCTGAATGTGGTAACTTGAACCTTACAAGGTTATTGAACTAGGGCTATTCTAGTATTTCTTCAGTAACAATATTCACTACTTTTGCTGCAGAGAAAAGGGAACTTCTTTGTAATCTGTTCACTGGGCTACACATCAAAGAAGCAACAAAATTTGCTCTTATCCTTCTTATAGTATAGAATATGACAGAACCTTCAAGCAAAAGTGCTGCACACTTTTCTGTGTTTTTTTTTTTAAAGACATTCATCCCTGTAAATCCCTTAGTACAGAATTTTCCATCTTTTAATTTATACAGAACATATGTTGCCATATTTCATGTGCAGATTTTAATTTCATTTATGTAGGTGTTCTTTTTTTTTTTTTGTTTTTTCTTTCCATTCAACAGCATTAGAGGGGAGGAACCAAGTGATGCTGATTCTCAAGTCATTTGAGGGGAAACAGGGGAAGGTAGAACTTGCTGCTTGTGTTTGGGGAAAACAGGCCTGACCATGACTGGATTATTTGATAAACATTTGTGAATATTGAACTTTCTATTAAGCAGTAACTAATTGCTGCTCTAAAAGATCATAAAATAGAATGCAACAGTGTGGTGTGAGAAGTATCAAGACTAGAAAACTGTAGTCAGATTAGCAAATCTGGCCCCAGTGCTGCTGTTAATTCATTTTCTAGTTTACCGTTTGCTTATTTAAGCAACTTCTAAGCACTAACACATAACTGGGTAAAAATAGTTATAATTTGGCTCTCTCTTTTACTAAGTTCTATTATAATTATTTTTGGAGAAATGTCCAAACTGTTCCTTTAAATCTGAGAAATGCACCAAAACAGAGATGTATAGAATGCCAACTGTTATTTTTTTTTTTTCCTGCATGCCTTGGTACATTGTGAACATTATTCAAAGATAAAGCATGTCTTTGAGGCTTTCTCACCCCCACCTATCCTAACTCCTTCCAAATCATAATTGAAATGACATTTCTATTTTCCTTTTAGATGAGGTTAAAATAATTTTAAGGCTCATGATTTTGTGTTTTACTGTAATTTAGGGAAACATTTGGATGCCAGTCACTATGTTCACAATTTTGCCTGTGTATGAATTTCTGCTGGCATCATTTATGAATTTTATTTCTTTTTTTTTTTTCACTTGAATAATCACTTACCTACCTGCCCTGGGATGAAACTGAATTTAGGTGGACCTAAAGAATTGTATAGTTCCCCTGTGAAGACAGTACTAATGCACTCTCTTTTTCTGATTTCATTTTTATGAGAAACTACTGAAAGGAGCTAATACTTGTGAATGTATATTTGCTACAAATGTATACTTGCATTTTCTTAGCTTCATGATATGAGGAACAGAAAGAGATGATGGATCAAGGTGTGTCTGGGACAAATGAGGACAAGGTCAATTCACATTTGTAGGTTAGAAAGAATTTTTGTGAACACAGTGCTTTCTGAGAAACACTGGATGGCTATATTTGCATGCCCCTTCATCAAAAAGGGAAATATGCAACGTGGTAGCACCTAAAAATAAATACGAGGGTCAGACACAAAATAAATCAAAGGTTTTACATAACAGTTGTATGCCCAATTTATTTAGGTGAGATTTCACAGTGCAGAAAGTATTTGAGGGGCATGAAAATGGGTTATCCTCTGTATTTTCCAATCTGGCAAAAATCCAGAAATTCATCACATCTCTTTGCCCTAATTTTGCCCAGATTTTTTTTCATCTCCAGCTCTTTTTGGAAAAGGTTGCTGCCTCTTTGGAATAGTGATAGTCTCTTTTAAAAAGCCATAGTAGGCTTTTTAAAACAATGAAAGTGGCCAGTAGGCGGATAGAAAGAAAGAGATTTGAAGATGTTGAAACATTCCCTTAAGAATTTTCTGGAGGGACAAAATAGAAGAATGAGAGCCTAGAATTCGGATTGGGGACAAAGTAGGAAGTTTCTGTCTTACATACATACAGGCAGTTGTATGAATCAGTGCATGTGCTGTGCGTGTGTATCACACACATTCTTTAAAAGGAAAGTCAAGAAGCAAAAAGTTATTAGATGTTACAAGAACATAGAGATTTAAAATTATAGTTAATACCTGATTGTATTAAAAAAATAATAAGATGTTACTAGTGTGTCTTTAGGACTAGTGGCAATTATTAAACTTAAATCTTTGGGTCTTTATGATCTACTTCCAGAACAAAGTGAAACAATGAAAAAAATTTAAGATGATTGATAAAAATTTAAAGAAATATAAATTCATTTTTGAAAAGGAAGAAAATATAGAAAAAATAGTAACTTTTACTTGTTGGTAAATAGAGAAAGAGAAGAATATTTTCATGAGCTTTTAAAAATTTATTGTTTTTGTGTTTCAGTTATACAACTCCCAAACCATGAAGTGTTTAGATTTTATAGATGTTTATCAAAATTTACACCAGATAAGTCATCCAGATGAAAAATTATGTTTTAAATATTTTCCAAATCTTATTTCATCCTATCTCCAAATGGTTTGTTGGGGTAGAAAAAGAACGTAAGAGGCTGCAGAAATATAAATAAAAAACTATATGCCCCTAATTTTTAACAGACAGAATTTAAAGTATAAGAGAGGTGCTACCTACATTTTTTAAAAACTTTGGATTGTTCATTTTGTTTTTTAAAAAAGTTACATTTGTGGTCCTCTTCAGTTATATTTTATATATTATTTTAGTAAGTACTCTCTGTTTGATTGTTCTATAGCAGAAAATTCTCCAAATGCAAAAGAAAAAAAAAAAGTGGGAGTGAAATTGAAGTTTGTACATACAAAAGTTATTTTAGAAATATTTTTAATTCTCCAGTTTCTGCAAAATAATTAAAATATACAGTAACTGGTCTCTGAAAATCCTGAATTTAATGTATTAAATACTTATAAACATTTTTATATTGGTGCCTTTTTAAAATGCATTGAGAGTGTTGGTTAGCTATTTTAGCCCTACAACACTTTTATTGTGTATTTTTTAAAATTACTTAAAATTGAATACTGTATAATTCATCTTTATGTTCTTAGGGAAAACTGCTAAAGCAATTTTCAATACAGAAACTTTCAGCTTAGCTGCTAAAAGCAAATGGAAACTTTGAAACCAAATTTTAGTTTTTTTAGTTTGATAGTATTTTTGAATCCCATCCCAATATTATATAGGTAAAATAGAAGGTGGGGTGAAATTTTAGCTGTGAATTCATTTATGGTATGTGCTTTTGTTTTGTTTTTAAGAGAGAATAAGTTCTGTATCACACAAGGATTTATTAGTAGAATTTTGAGTCCAAAAAAATGCAGTGTTGTTTTTAATTTTTATCCCCAGACTAGTGTTATTCTAGTCTTGGAACCTCTCTATCTTCTAATCTGTTAATGTTTTATGGAATAATGTAAAAAAGCAGATAATTAATTCTCCTTGAATGAAGCAAAACTGAACAGTTAAATCACATTGCTATCCTCCAAAGCCTAATCTCAAATGGTTTCAGACCATGGTTGTGTATTACCTGCAGTGGATGTGTTAGGATATGACAGCTTTTTAAATATGAGCTGCTGGTTATGTAAAGCAAATGTCATATGACCAAGAAGCTGTGATATGCTAGTGTTTCTTTTTATCATAGTGTATTGCTAGGCCAAATAATGACACCTTGAATATTTTTACATTTATTGCAGAAACCTAAAATTTTGGAATTTCCATAAGGTTTCCTATAACATTCTCTTTGTAGCTTTTTAGTTTTATCTTGCTGTACTGTAAGTTTGTGGATATTTTTCACATGCACTCTCAGAAATAAGTTCTGTTCATGGGATTTTTCCCCCATATCATCATATTTGTATATTTTCTGTATAAATTTGTTATTAATTAACCTTTATTCCATACAGAATGGTACATGAATAACTAGTTTTCTAAGATGTCCTTTTTATTGTGAATAAAACATAAAATTTAGAGGCCCTCTGCTACAC